CTTCTTCTTTGGCAATTACTTGTAGCCGGGTAAGATTGTTTTCCAGAAACATGGTTTTAACAATGAGTCCGTAAGTGACTGTGGAGGCCAATTCTGGATCCACACGTCCTTCCACAGTGGGGAAGATAATCATCAGGCATCCGCACAACATGACCAGTCCAACGAAGTTGATGTTGCAGAATCATTGCTTCAACACTGGTGATCTTCTTCCAGTACACTGATATTAGTTCGCCTGTCTTCCTAAGTGATGTGTAACATTTTTCGGAGACACCGTTGATGGAATCTTTTGAGGAGTTGGAGATGGCATTTATAAGTGGTCCATGTTTCACAAGCATATAGTAAGGTTGGTAGTGCAATAGCTTTGTAAACAAGCATTTTGGTTTCCCTGTGAATGTCCCGATTCTCAAACACTCTGCACTTCAATCAGGAGAGGAACATGCAAGCCCACTCACCACAACAAGGTGATGATCCAGCTATGTACCTGCTCCTTCAGAGGAAGTGTAACCCCATCAAGAGCATTCAATGTCTCACCCATCAGGTCTAGAGAACCACCCACTAACAGTGCCTCAGTCTTATCTAGATTGAGCTTCAGTTTATTGACTCTCATCCAGGCAAGGCAATGGCCAAGCACTTCCACTGTCACATCCGCAAATGTAAAGGAGAAGTAAAGCTGTGAGTCATCAGCATATTGCTGACAACATACCCCCCCTCCCAAAAAAAAAAATTCTGGAAGACCCACTCAGTGGTTTCATTTAGATGTTAAACGGCACAGGGGATAAAACTGAACCCCGAGGAACCCCACATTGAAAGCTCCAGAGGGGCCGAAGAGCACTCCCCAAGCATCTCCCTCTGGAAATGACCATCCAAGTAGGACTTGGAACCACAGCAAAGCAGTAGAAAGTACTAGATGGGAATGTGCCCTGGGTGGGATCAAGCTCGGTTTCCCACCCTCATTTCGTATAGACAGTTGAGAAGAAGGTAAGTGTCTATTTCACCCTCCACAGACTGAAGATCCTGAGTCTTGTGTATGAGAGTGTGGGAACAAGATCAAATTCTTTTGTTTCAGGAACTGGAAATGAGTAAGGTATACCTCCGAGGCTTTAAGAGATAGCCATCAGAATATTGTCAGCATAGAAAAACCTTATAGGAATGCAAATGTGGATCATAGCACTATTTTCAGCGTTATTTCCCTATCCGTTAATGGATTCTTGGAAGGATGTCAATTTTGAGACTTCACCTGCGCATGCAGGTAGGTTTATTTATGGAATCTGCATAAACATGCACGGTCAGAAAAATTGCATCCCAGCAACTGAAGTGTAAATATTCAAGACACTGCTTGGAATGATGCATTCTCTACACACAAACCGCAACAATACTTTTTATGGCGTATGGAGTAATTTCCCAGCAAAGAAACAAGAAAGGCAGTGGTGTTAAAAGCGTTGCAGCCTAAGTGGAGCTATACGAGTACCCTGGTAATTTGTGTGTATGTGTGAAAAGGTTCTAAACTGTTTTGAAACACTCTCGGTCTTCCGTATTTTGGTTTGTGGGTGGGGGAGGTGGGAGAGGGAAAGAAGGCAGACAGGTCTATTATCTTCTGCTGCATAAATGCTGCCACAGCATTTCCCACTAATATGTTTGTCTTACAAATGGTACATCAGAGTATCCTGTATTTCTCAGTTGTTTGATTAAGCTAATTTGCATGTCTCCAGGAGAAATTAGCTGAGTCTTTAGCTCAACTTCTGAATGCCTATGAGAGGGTTATATGCCAGACAATTTAATGCTGGCATGAGAGAGGCTGCCTTAAAATAGCACTCATTGGTCAGGAGCTTGTTATCAATTTTGAATAAAATTTCTAGCAGTGACAGGGAGGAGCTCATTGATTCACTTGCCAAGCATTCGATTGGCTGTATTCATCCCTGGCTGCTAAGTGCAGAGTGTAATGGAGCATATTTGAAAGCCCCGTCTTCTCGCCTAGAATATATTATTTAAAAATGTCAACTGTGTATGGGGGCTTGTTTGTTGTTTACTCTTGCCTGAATCCTGAATGATTCAGACTGAACATCTAGCATTTGCCCAGGATCTTCTCTTTTGGCTAATTTTCCTGAATTATATATCCCGTTCTGGCCTGAAAGAAAAATCTGAAGGGCATCTCACATGGGCAATGCCCTAAGTCCTCGTCCCATTCTCACTGCTCGTGCAGTCATGTAATCTTTTCCGCACTGGCCTTTATCATCAGCGATGAAATTAGGCTTAACAACCAGTGAAGCTGAAAAGGATGTATTGCCAGGTTGCTAACAGCAGCTGCTGACATGGCAAAGCCTAAGAGTGAAAAATTCATGGAAACTGCACTCTCCATAGGCTTCTGTACACAATCGAAGGTTGCCAAAATGCCTAATTGGGATTAACCTCACCCCTGTTGTTAATGTGCTCCTTGAGCCCTGGCAGGAAATGGTGTATCATTGGCAGGCAAGGAAGGGCTCTGTGGCATGCTCCCTTGTTCCTCGGTTCCTCCACCACCACCTCCCTGCCTTGTCCAAGGAAAGGCTCATTGTTCTTGGGGAAGCACAGGGACTTGGTCGTGGTTTGGCATTTAATGCAGAGCAAGGCTTTCCTTAAAAAAGCATCTTAAAAAGCAGAGACATCACCTTGCTGACAAAGGTCCGTATAGTTAAAGCTATGGTTTCCCCAGTAGTGATGTATGGAAGTGAGAGCTGGACCATAAAGAAGGCTGATCGCCGAAGAACTGATGCTTTTGAATTATGATGCTGGAGGAGACTCTTCAGAGTCCTATGGACTGCAATAAGATCAAACCTATCCATTTGGAACGAAATCAGCCCTGAGTGCTCACTGGAAGGACAGATCCTGAAGCTGAGGCTCCAATACTTTGGCCACCTCATGAGAAGAGAAGACTCCCTGGAAAAGACCCTGATGTTGGGAAAGATGGAGGGCACAAGGAGAAGGGGACGACAGAGGACGAGATGGTTGAACAGTGTTCAAAGCTACCAACATGAGTTTGACCAAAGTGTGGGAGGCAGTGGAAGGCAGGAGTGCCTGGTGTGCTCTGGTCCATGGGGTCACGAAGAGTCAGACACGACTAAAGAACAACAACAACAACAAAGGCTTTCCTTTTAAGTGGCATCTATTTTCAAATTATAACTTTGCTTTTCTTGAAAATGACAACCCTTCTACATGCATCTCTCTTTCACTCCATCCCTTTCTCTTTATATATTGACTATGCATTTTTTCTCCAGCTTATCTCTTAACTTTTGCAGATAATTTGGCATTTTGGCACACTAAGATCCACCCACCACTTTTACAGACAAAGCATGCCTCAGCGTATTCTAAGCATGAAATGGCATTTTATGTTTGATGTTTCTGTCACTTTTGTATCACGCATCTTTGAATGTTTGTAGAGAATGATTCGGATGCAGAGAAATAAAACATTTACAGTGGATGACTACTGTTTTAACATCATTTTATATGAGCACATATCTGGCAAAACATGTTGAGCCTGACTCAGCAATACCTGACGATGACTCAACATTGTTGCAGAGCAAGGGTCAATGCATCATTTGACTTGCTGACCAAACTATTTAAGCATACCTGCTTTTCCCTGGTGACTCAGCACTTTCTCATAAATGACTTGGCCTTTTGGCAAATTATATCACAACATATTTTGAGCAGAACTTACCTTAGCATTAGTGCTGGCTTCAGTTTTGGGTGGACTCGATAGAGTTGCTGCAATAGACTCCCCGATATGGACCTTCTTCAGAGTAGAAATGAATGCTTTCCACCACAAGAATGAGTTTCAAAGCTTTATTGGAAACAGTCTTAAAATGGTTACAAATAAACATTACAAGATACAAAATAACACATTGCTCATAAGCAGCAAACAATGTGGCCCTGTCTTCTTTTTAGTCTAATACAGTTCAATAAACTTTCCTCTCTCTGGTGCTAGAGAGTGATCCTAAGCAACTTGCTTTTCATGGAGCTCAGCTTCTACTGCTTCTGCTACTGGTCCCATAGCTTGTTAAAACATTGCATTCTCAGGTTTCATTTTCTGCTGTGAGAGAGCTCTCGGGTTTCCAGTGATGAGTCATAAATTAGCCGAAAGACTGAAACACTCAATCTTTTCTCCTGAATCTGCCAGAGTGAAACCCCCTGTAACTAATGCAAATTTGTCCCCGCAAAATGTTTTGAAATACAATACATACAAACACTACATTTTATGCATATGAAACTTTGCATCTTTAACAACACTTTGGAAGGTGCCTTCAAGTCAGCTCCCTCCTTTCCAAGGTCCTGCTGCCCATTTGCTTGTCTTCTCCTTCAGGGTCCAATGTGCATAGCTGTCCATAAGGAGCACGTGCTCCATCTCCTATCTGTTGACACTGCTTGCAAACCTGGAGAGGACAGGTGAACAGGCACCAGCAGCAAGTAGGAGGAGCTTTACAGTAAATTAGCAGCAAATTAGGAGGACCAGAAAATGTTAGTGAGCCCCTTTCAGGGGTGTGGGCCTTGGCAAATCTCCATAGAATCTTTCTTTGGCAATCACTCGTAGCCAAGTAAGATTGTCTTCCAGAAACATGGTTTGAACAATGAGTCAGTAAGTGACTGTGGAGGCCAATTCTGGATCCACAAGTCCTTCCACAGTGGGGACATTGGTTTCAAGGTGGGAGTTGATCATGGTGTGGATTTCCCCAGCTTGCCTTCCTCTTAGCACGTTTCTCCCTTGCGTCCTGAGTTTGAGTGTTTTCAAAGCCCATGACACCTTTGGTAAAGGCTGTTCTCCAACTGGAGCGCTTGCAGGCCAGTGTTTCCCAATTGTTGGTGTTTATACTACATTTTTTTAGATTTGCCTTGAGACAGTCTTTAAACCTCTTTTGTTGACTACCAGCATTACGCTTTCCATTTTTAAGTTTGGAATAGAGTAGTTGCTTTGGAAGACGATCGTCAGGCATCCACACACATGGCCAGTCTGCAATTCTGGAATAAGCAACTGTCCCATTCAGGGACCAAACCTGCAGCCTTGGCATTAGTAGCACCATGTTGTAACCAACTGAGCTATCCAGATTGATGTAGCAATGCCTTCTCCTCAGTTTTTGCCTGATGTGACAATTTCAGCACTTTTTCAGACCATAACTCTATATGCTTCAGAGGGGAATTCAGCACCTCCCCAGCTAGCTATATGTTCAGAGCAGGACTTGGCTCTTTTGTAATGACTCTACAGTAAAGCAACCGAGTTCAAATTTAATTGCAATTTTGACATCAAAGAGGCTTTGTAGGGACTGGAAGAGGTTAGTTTAGCTACAAGAAGTAATTGTTATATTCATGCTTTTCATCTTCCTTTGCCAATTGATTTTTTTTTTAATGTATTGTATATTTTCAGGGGGGGACCCTGTAATTATTCACAATAGGAAACAAATACAAAGCACACAATTTATTTGATGATGATGGGGGGGGGAGTGAGGAACAGATGGATAAAAATAAAACGCATTCATAATATTTCCAACAATATTTGTGGCTCAGCATTTTCCTGTATTTATTGCACTAGTACACAATAGAAAAAGTCACCGTTTCAACAAAAGAATTATTCAATTGCTGACTTTCACTTACCCTAATATTTGTCAATTTTACCAACGGAAGATTCACCCACACTTTCATAATCCAGTTGTCTAATGTGGGGGTATGAAAATGTGTCACACTCCTTCTGATGGGATCTTCTGTTATTTTGCCTGGATCTCACTTCCACTTATATTCTCCATAAAGCTGTCTTAAGGCATGCCGCTGAATGCACAATGTTAAAAAATGGGGGTGGAGGTTGGGGCACACCTGAATGCCCCCCCCAATGGCTTTAGGCAGGTTAGGTGTATGTTTGTTAGGCACTCAAATGACAAGCAATGTCAGGGGCTGCAGGTACTATAAAAGTAGTAACTGTGCCCCTGAAGGACCAAGTGGGCAGCCTGGGAGGCATTTTGGACTCACAGCTGTCCATGGAGGCGCAGGTCAATTCTGTGTCCAGGGCAACTGTCTACCAGCTCTACCTGCTACGCAGGCTGAGACCCTACCTGCCCACAGACTGTCTCACCAGAGTGGTGCATGCTCTAGTTATCTCCCACTTGGACTACTGCAATGCGCTCTACGTGGGGCTACCTTTGGAGGTGACCCAGAGACTACAACTAATCCAGAGTGAAGCAGCTAGACTGGTCACTGGGGGAGTAGGCACTGGGTTTTGTACTATTATTTATTTATTTATTTATATTTATTATTTAGTGAATTTATATACCGGAGGTCTCAGGGCAGGTCACAGAACAAGATCAACATAAAACCACAGTAAATATAATCAAGATAAAAACAACAACCCAATAACACCCCTCCCCCCAAAAAAGAGCCACATTTTAAAAGGGCATACTGCCCAAAACATACTAAAACAGCCGACAATAAGCATTATGTGGCCAATGAGAGCAGGCTCCATTCTTATTAGGCTGTTTCTGGGCCATAGTTCTCCTTACATTCCCCCTCCCACCCGAATATTTTTTTCCCTACTGCTATACACACTGGGATCCCCTCCATTCCAGCATGCTTATACGACCTTTCCCTGTTTTGGCTATATAGCTGTCATAACTGAGCCCCAGAGTTTGCTATTAGTATCAGAATATATGGTCCTCTACATAGTTTAATAAATAAGTCGCACTGCAGCAGGTATTCCCACAATATTGTCAGCTGCAGATTCTCCCTCAACGGTTGGGGTTTTTATGTACTTTCTTCTGAAAGGCTGCCGAGAAGCTGGCTCCAAATTAGACTAAAAGCTTTTGTTGAGAATTCAGTTCATGCTATTTTGCAAATTCTGCCAGAGCAACTGCGTAGTGACAATTACCATGCTGCACTGCTGCAATAATAATAATAATAAAATTTAGAATAATAATTGTTGCATCCAGTCCTCCGCCATGCAAAAGAAAGGACCTAATTATTTAGCAAAGCTATTGCCTCCCCCACCCCCCACTTCACCCCAACAACAAAACAATAATAGAATAAGAAATCACTGGAAAGGGTAGTATATCTGTTAAACTGTTATCTCTGAAAATGCACAAAGGCAGCTAGAATGAAGACAAGCCGGGAAATGACAAGGTCTGGGATGTTACATAAAAATGAGCTTGGAAAATGAGCTTAAGGGACTTAAGTCCATTGAACAGAATTTGGCTACGAGTTCACATGATAACAGCGCTGTCAAGGTACATATGTACAAACCTCACCCCAATTCCTAGAGCTGGCCCAAAATTCCTTGGAATTTTCTGACTTTTTCTTCTTCTGAGAATGTTCCCTTCCAGACTCCCACTGAACTGTCAGAAAATTTCAGGTTGTTTCTGTTTTTTATGTACAGGAGAGGAGATAAACAATTGCCTGGGGAAAGATTGTTGGTGGGGGCTTCTTAAACGAGAAATGCTTTTTAATGTAGCCGCACACATCTGTCTGCTTTAAAGGGGGTGGTTGCTTCGGTCAGTATGCAAAGAGAACCATGTGAATGTCTTAAAGCCTTTGCATCTCTCTGAATATGGTTAAATTTCTCAGATCCAGACATTACAGTGCCACTGTATTCTGCTCTGGTCAGACCTCGCCTGGAGTACTGTGTCTAGTTCTGGGCACCACAGTTCAAGAAGGACACTGACAAACTGGAACGTGTCCAGAGGAGGGCAACCAAAATGGTCAAAGGCCTGGAAACGACGCCTTATGAGGAACGGCTAAGGGAGCTGGGCATGTTTAGCCTGGAGAAGAGGAGGTTAAGGGGTGATATGATAGCCATGTTCAAATATATAAAAGGATGTCACATAGAGGAGGGAGAAAGGTTGTTTTCTGCTGCTCCAGAGAAGCGGACACGGAGCAATGGATCCAAACTACAAGAAAGAAGATTCCACCTAAACATTAGGAAGAACTTCCTGACAGTAAGAGCTGTTCGACAGTGGAATTTGCTGCCAAGGAGTGTGGTGGAGTCTCCTTCTTTGGAGGTCTTTAAGCAGAGGCTTGACAACCATATGTCAGGAGTGCTCTGATGGTGTTTCCTGCTTGGCAGGGGGTTGGACTCGATGGCCCTTGTGGTCTCTTCCAACTCTTCTATGATTCTATGATTCTATGTTTCTATGATTAAAGTGGAAGTTGTAATGTGTAAAATCATACACATAAATGTGTATGACAGGTGGCCTTTGCACACCTGCCAGTCATATGACATCATATTGGCGTGGTGTGGTCAAATGCACCTAATTATTAAAGTATAGTCTAATCCAGAGAGCCAGTGTGGTGTAGTGGTTAAGAGCGGTAGTCTCGTAATATGGGGAACTGGGTTCGCGTCTCCGCTCCTCCACATGCAGCTGCTGGGTGACCTTGGGCCAGTCACACTTTGAAGTCTCTCAGCCCCACTCACCTCACAGAGTGTTTGTTGTGGGGGAGGAAGGGAAAGGAGAATGTTAGCCGCTTTGAGACCCCTTAAAGGGAGTGAAAGGCGGGATATCAAATCCAAACTCTTCTTCTTCTTCTTCTTCTTCTTCTTCTTCTTCTAATCAAATTATTTGGTTCCTTTGAACTTACCTGGTGGTGATGAGAGGAGAGATTTCTGATTGTGTGCATTTCAGTTGTGTGCAGTGTTTTGTTTTTTTAAAAAATCTTTTATTAAAGTTTTCTTGGTTTAAAAAGGTATGCAAAATCCGTCCTTGTATTGGAAAACCCATAAAAATAAAAATAAAAACAACTTGCTGTTAAATAGGTCCTTAAGGAATCCCAAAGGGTGTCTTGGTGAGTTGGCATGATGACCACTGAGAAGAGGTCAAACTAAGGGAATGAAAGGAGACTGAGTAAAATTCAAGTAGGTATGCTTGGAGCAGGTTCAAAGAGAAAACCCCAGTAATGTAATGGGGAAATTTCTGGTAAGAGATACATTGGGACATGTAGAATGAACTCATCTGGAAGGTTGCCTTGTGGATGGTCCTCCTGAATGGATTGGCCTGTCAAGAACAATTACTGTGGCTGCTTCCTGCTGAGTCATGCTGCTTTGCCTGCAGATGCCATTGTTGTATCCTGTCTGCATTTATGGGAGTTGTGATTGATGGAGGCGGCTTGTCTCCAGAGCTCAATGCAGGGGCTTTCCAATGCCAAAGCCTGCATGTGGTGACCTTTACTTTCCTGGTGATTTGACTGTTTCACTACTATTGCAATCTAGCTTCCTAGCAGGGGTGCCAACGTGGATAAAATATTGTGGGGGCCCAGGTAGGGCCCGCCCCACATAACTGATCACATGACACAGTACAAACACACCATTTGAATGGGAATGCCCATCAACTTTGTAGGGGCCCGGCCCCCACAAATGTTTTATTGTGGGAGCCGAAGACCCCATAGCCCCTAGGAGTTGGCTCCTATGCTTCCTGGTGAGTCAATCAACAAACTTTCTGGATCCTGGTGACCTTGCTGGAAAGACGGTCAAGCACAGACAAAGCAACTACAAGTCTGTACTTGTACTGTACAAGTCAAGGCAGAATGGTCATTTCCAATTGTCCTTTGGTTTAGCCAAAACCATCTTTGGTTTTCTTCTAAACATGAAATAAGGCTAAGCACAAAAGGCTAACTGCGAAAGCCTCATAATACTGGTCAGGCTTTCTTTCCTAATGTTGAAAAAATTATGAGCTATTTTTGTGAGTCAATGTTTTACACCAACCATATTATATCAAAAGCAGAAATGTTTCTGTTCGTAGAAATGCTAACACATATTGGCAACCACATTTTTTATATATTTCTCCTCCCCCCCCCAAAAAGATAACTTTTATTTACTCTACATCAAGATCCTTCTGAACTAGGAAAGAGGTATCTATAGATGCATTTACAAGAGAAATGAAAACAGAATCTCTACAAAATTAAATGCCCTCTTTCATTTTGGCCTTTCTTACTTTTACCTGATTGAAGTTCATAGTTCTTTAATCAGGCTGTTTCAGCAGAGTAGGATTTGTTTTAACCAAAGCCTGAGCTATTTGAAAGGAACATAATGATTTAGATTAGACTGAGAGTTATATGAAAGCTGTAACAGTGCACAGC